GTTTTTAAATGCATCTATCCTTTACACCTCTTTTGTTCAATTATATGATATGAAATCATAAATTCAGCATCCATTCAAATTTTATTCATTTTCCCCATATTTTTTGTAAATCCGTGTTTCGCAAAGAGATTTATCAATTTTAGCATCAGCTATCAAAATATTAAGAACCAAGTTCTATTTTGCTAAATATTTGTTACTCACCTTAGACTGAGAATGTTGCTTTTTGAATTATTTTCAGTATAATTAAGAAAAATACAGCTGAGGTTAACCTTGGCTCTTTTATGACTTGTGGACTTCAACTCCCAGAATTCCTGAGCCAGCCATGCTGAGGAGAAATGGAGAGGTTTCCATGCTGACCCATGCTGGCTCAGGAATTCTGGGATTTGAAGTCCACGAGTCATAAAAGAGCCAAGGTTACCTACCCTGAACTAGGCAGAAAAGCTCGCTACAGCTGGATGGTACAGATGGTCCTCATTTAACAATTGGTTACTTAGTGACTGTTCAAAATCCAGAGCTACTTTTGACCTGATGCCTGAGATTGCTTAATGAGCACATGAAAAAGGTTGTAAAATCAGGTACAATTGCAAGGTGACCTGCTTAATGACTGCCATAACCCATAGCCATAATTCCAGCCTCAATTACACTCGAAAGTCAAATACTACCTGATAAACAGAAATGATCTTGGGGGAGCAACAAAATCAACATATTTAAGAAATACAATTTTAAAGTCCATCTCAACTCTAGTTAACTCATTACATTTAAGTCATTCCCTCCAGCTTATCCTCATAAAATAAAATATTTTTCTTCTTTGGAATGTCTGTCAAGTCTCTTTTCCTCAAGGAATCCTCAGTCTTGTTAATATCCATAAAGAAAAAGTCCCAAACTTGTTCTATTAAGGACTGTAAGTTTACTTAGAACTCTTCCTCATAGAATAAAATCTTCTTCTCTAAATTAGCTATCAAATCTCTTTTTCTCAAAAAATTCTCAACCTTATTAGTATCCATGGAGAAAAAAATCCCAAATATTTTCCCTTGAGAGTTGCTTGAAATTTGCTTGAAGTTCGTTTCAGTTGTGCTGAGAGAGTTATATTCAAACCATGATTGTAACACAAGTTGTTATCATATTTGTATTCCAAAGTTGCAGTTAAGTTGTTTACATTGTCAAATATTTGTGAAATTGCCACAGTGGTTTGATAATTTTCTGCTATAGTTGCATCTCTTGCTCTTTTTTATGTCATCTATATCATTTATATCTTTGGAACCTAATCAAAGTATAAAGTGATTAATTTTCTGTAAGAGATCTTCAAAAGCTTCCTTAACAAGAAGCTCAGATTTGGCAATCTTCTTAGCTCTAGTGGTCCAAGAATATATTTTTATTTATTTCTGTATTTATTTTTTTCTGACCACTTAAAGTTCATAAAAATCTGGGCATTTCAGCCACCCTCAACAAAGCAATCCAAGGTTATCTGTTGCTTAAAAATAGTAAAATAAAACCACAAGTTGGGTCTACACAACTCGCCATTGCCAACTCGCCATGGCCAACTCACCACAGCCAACTTGTTGCAGCCAACTTGCCCCGGCCAATTCACTGTGGGACAACTCATCATGGCCAACTTGCCGTGAGACAACTCACCACGGGACAAGAGTTACATTAATATTGAAGAAATAGTGGAATAGAATAATTAAAGAAAGGATACCAAAGGAGAGACAAAATGAAATCTGAATGACAAAAATTAAAATAACTTTTTAAATTATTTTAAATAATTAAATTGAAGTATTGAATTGTCCCATAGCGAGTTGTCCTGTGGTGAGTTGGCCATGGTGGTTGGTGCGGCGAATTGACCATGGCAAGTTGGCTGCGGCAAGTTGGTTGCCGTGAGTTGGCCCATTCCACAAAGGTTTCTATCCTTATGTTTATCCACCAGAAATAGGAAGGAAAAATACTCCACACTTACTTATTTTAGCTTGCCTCCAGCAGCCCTATCTCTTGTCATTTAAACAATAAAAAAATCTGAAAAATGGCATGGAACTTCAAAAATGAGTAACAGGCTGAGACTAAAGAGAGCCTCCTTTAGCTAATTCAGATTAATAGTCTCATAAATTGGTTACAAAATGAAATGTATGACATTGTCCATTTGAAAAATAACTTCCAGAACTGCTGTTTTTCCAACAATGAAGTGATTGCAGCCCTGCCCCCAAGCTGCCTGCTCACTACGAAGCATAGCTCCTGAAGTTACTTGCAGACCATTGCTGTATAGAGGATGTTGTGGGGTGATTCTAGGTTTCCCCCCTCTCCTATCCAGGAGAGTCATATAAACTAAGGAAAGTCCAGAGAGAAAAACCTCTCTGGGTGTGTCTTTCATCAGCCATGTTCATGGGAAGTCTCCAAGACTTTACAAGTCTGACATATGTAATTGAAAGAAAGCTCTAAATATAGTTTTGTATTTATAAAGTGGGTCTGAAAATGTTTTTCCTGTTTTCTTCTTATATATAATATTTGAGTAATTCTTAAATATTCTTGTAAAATATTATAATGGATGTTTAAAAATGTTTTTCTCCTTTAAGGCTAAAGAATTTGAGACGGCAAATTATGTTAATATAAATGATGATAATTTATAAAGATTAATAGGTACAAACAGAAATATATATTATTTCCCAAAGCCAAAAGAAAAAAGCATAGATTGTTAAATTGATTGTTTTATCAAAAAAATAACATAATTTTGTTTTCATTTGGATATTGCTTCTGATTTTTGTGCTTGTGATGGAAAGAATGAAGCTTTGATTTTAGTTTTGCTGATTAGATAGATTTGTTGTTATAGAAATGATTAGTATATATTATTGTGTAAAACTAAAAAAATGAGGTTGTAGTGTTATTATCTTCTACTGTGCTAAAGAGAGTTGGAAGTCAATGCCTTTTTTTACTTCCTCCCCTTTTACCCCACACTCTTTCCTTTTTCCCTTTTCCTTCCTTTTTCTCATTTTTATTTTTTTGTATTTTTTATTCTGCTAAACTAATAAAATTTTCAACTACAAAGAAACACATTTGTAGTAAATAGTTGTCAACCACTGCTTTAATCCATAAAGCATAACTGCAAGATAAAAATTTGCAGACAAAGATATAAAAGGAAATAAATAAGCTCTAAGATGGATGAGAGAAACAGAAAATGCTGTTGTGAACTGTAAGGTAAAGATATGCACTAGGAATATTTAAAAAGCAAGTCCTAATAAAAAGGTTTTATTAACTTAACAAACATATTTTATTAATAACTTGCCTCCAGAAGATGTAGGTGCTCCATCACTAGAGGCTTTTAAGAAGAGTATGGACAGCCACTTGTCTGGAAAGGTATAGGGTCTCCTGCCTGAGCAGGGGGTTGGACTAGAAGAATTCCAAGGTCCCTTCCAACTCTGTTATTCTGTTAACTCAAAGTAACACATTTCTGTACTTATTCATATGTTTGTGTGTTGTGTGCACACATTATTATCCATCTTTAATTGCAATTGCTCTAACACCTAATAAGCTATGGTTAGGAAAAAAAAGGCAGGTTAATTTGTGATTTCCTCTACTCATTTGGAGGCAAATTAAGTGTCAAGAAGCTAATACATAACATATTTCATTTTATGAGATTTTAATTTAATTTGACATCATACTATTGATGCCTTAATATGGGTGGTTTATTTAAGAAAAGAAGTAATTTATCATTTTTTTGCAACTGAACCTTTAGTGATATGATATGATAGCATAATCATAGCAGCGGCTTCTTGTCCTCAAGTGCACTAAACATCTGACAGCAATTCATCATCATACTAGAATTTTTCAATAGATTTTAATTCATATGTACATAATTTTACTTCAGAGTAAAATAGAATGAAGAAATTCTATACCCAAGTAATTAAAATATTTTGCAAGATAACATTTGTATTTCTCATTTAGAAAATACATAAAATACTTATTGTTCTGTTTCCAATGTAAAGGCATTGAGACGAGGCAGGAGTAACAACAGTCTTCTCTTTATTCAGATCACAACAGAACCAATACAAAATGGCGCAGATTCCTTTTATACCCCTTCGCAGGGACAGTGTCAACCAATCAATGCAACGGATTCTCCCACCTTGCGCATGCGCAATAGGCGGGAGACAGCCTGTCTGGTCCCGGGCATCCACTTGGTCTGCCCGGGCCTCTCTGCAGCTTCCTGCGCCTGCTGAGTCACTCAGCAGGCCCAGGACATGACACCCCTCCCCTCTTATTTCAAACATAGTACTTAATATTTTACAATACTACAAATCTAATACTTCGTCAATCCTTCACCCATAACACAATAATACTTACTATTTTGCATTTCTATAAATCAACATTTGTTCTTTTGAGTACATTCTTATTTCTAAGTACCCTTTAAGCCTGCCCACCTACTGACAGGAGTCTTACATAGTCCTGTAAGTGCTTGGGTGGACCTCTGGCTCGCTCTGACCTTCTGGGAGCAGTTGTGACTGCCTGGCCTGCAAGCTCGCCTGCCAGGCTCGGCAGACTAGGACTTTGATGCCCCCTAAATTCAGGCGACCCTCCATCATGCTGACTGGCCAGATCCTGTAAACCCAGACCAGAGTTAATTGGTGGGGTGGAATTCCCCAAGTTCACAATGGACCCCTCTTGGAAGCACTGTCCCGTGAGCCCAAGACCAGCAGATGGAGTGGTCTGAAAAACCAGTTGCGAGCAATGTCCCATGGACCCGGTGTCTGTGCCAGAGTCAGGAGCCGCCCCATTGGCAAAACCCCCTACTGGTCTGGTATCTGTGCCAGAGTCAGGAGCCGCACCATTGGCAAAACCCCCTACTGGTGCCTGTGAAGTTCCGCTTTTGTGGAGAAACTGTGGTCCACGATCGTAATTGTGGTCCTTCTCCCCCGAGAGCAGAGTCAGGAGCGGAAGGGTGGCTGGGTAACCTCCAGCGCAATTGGTCGATGTGGCGACATAACACACAACCATCTTCCAAGGCCCCTTCGTAAGACAGTGGCCCAGTGACCTTGCAGACCACAGCTGTCACCCAGAGATGTACAGGTCCATAGTTCCTTGGCCAGACTGGATCGCCAACCTGAAGTCTCCTAGGTGCCCGTGGCTGTGACACCTGTGAAGCCACCCAGTCTGGGTGCAACCTGTCCAGTTTTGTAATGAGTCTGCGACCCCAGCGGAGTTCAGCTGGGCTCTTGCCAGTAGCTGTGCACGGTGTGATGCGGTGGCAAAGAAGGAAATCCGCTAACCTGTGATGCCAACTGCCATGAGTGATCCTCTTTAACACATCTTTGGTTATGCGCACCATACGCTCAGCATGGCCGTTGGACGAAGGATGAAACGGTGCTGATGTGGCATGACGGATCATGTTGGCCTGTAGAAAAGCCTGAAACTCAGAAGAAGTGAATTGGGGTCCGTTGTCGGAGACAAGGACATCTGGAAGCCCATGAGAGGCGAAGATCCCTCTCAACACCAGGATGGTCCTGGCAGTAGTAGTGGAGGAGACTGGAATGACCTCTAGCCACTTGGAACGGCTGTCCATGAGGAGAAGGAAGAATTGCCCCTGAAAGGGGCCAGCATAGTCGATATGAACCCTCGACCAAGGGGCATGTGTCACCTCCCACCTATGTACAGGAGCCTGAGGCATATCAGGCCTAGACTGTTGGCAAACAGTACACCTGTGGACCTGGGCCTCAATCTCTTTATCAAGCCGAGGCCACCAAAGATGGCTGCACGCAAGTGCCTTCATCCAGACTATACCCGGATGTTCCTCATGCAGAGAGAGCAAGACTCTAGTCCTCAATGAGTTTGGGATCACTACCCTACTACCCCATAGGACACACCCCTTAAAGGTGGATAGCTCGTGCTTCCTCTTCCAGAAACTCTGGAACTCTGTGTCAGGCCACCCTGACAGCACCCATGTCAGCACGCGTGTAAGTGTGTGATCAGTGGCTGTTTCTGCAGCCACATCCCTAGCATTGAGGGGAGACTCAGGCAACTCCTGAATGGAAAGTACAGTATGTGGTGAGCTGGAGCAGGATCTGACTCCACTAGCTGTAGAGGTAATCTGCTGAGGCCATCTGCATGGCCCATTTCTTTGCCCGGTTTGTAAACCAGTGTGTAGTCATATGCAGAAAGGAAAATTGACCATCTCAGCATTCTAGGAGAGACGATGTGTGGGGTTTGCTTGTTGGTTGTAAACAACCCCAGCAGTGGCTTTTGGTATGTAAAGACTGTGAATTGGCGGCCATATAAAAAGTCATGGAACTTTTTTATGCCAGCCACTATGGCCAAGGCTTCTCTGTCAATCTGCATGTAATTATGCTCAGCAGATGAGAGAGTCCTAGAACAGTAGGCTACAGGGACTTGTGTCCCATCGACCTTTAAGTGACTTAACACCGCCCCAATCCCATAAGGGGATGCATCACAGGCTATGCACACAGGTAACTGCTCATTGAAATGCGCTAAAACCGCATTTGAAGATAGCAAGGCCTTGACCTCTGCAAAACTCCTTTCGTGGACCTTTGTCCACTGCCATGGAGCCTGTTTATCCAAGAGCCGGTGTAACGGCTCAGCCACTGCAGCCTTGTGAGGGAGGAGTTTAACAGTCCCAGAAAAGCCTGAAGTTCGCTTTTGGACTTGGGACTTGGGGCCTGCTGAATTGCTTTGAGCTTGGATTCAGCAGGATGGATGCCTTCAGCATCAATACGAAACCCCAGAAACTCTGTGGAAGTGACTCCAATTTTACATTTGTCTTGCTTCATCTTCAGCCCCTCTTGGCGGAAATGCAGCAAGACGGCCCTAAGCCTGTCAGCCAGATTTTCAGATGATTCCCCAGTGATGAGGACATCATCAAAGTAAGGGCAAACTACTGGAATATTTCGGAGCGTTCCCTCCATCACCCTTTGGAAAATGCCAGGGGCTACGTTAACCCTGAACTGCAGCCTTTTAACCTTAAACACTCCCCAGTGCATTACAATTGTTTTGGCCTCTGCCATTGCCTCATCAACTGATAGTTGTTGATAGGCCTGAGGCACGTCAAGATTGACAAAGACTCGGCCCCCTTTGAGGGATGCCAGAATGTGGCTCACCACTGGCACCAGGTATGAGTGCTGCTGCAATGCTTTGTTAAGTGTACGCTTATAGCCTGCACAAATGTGGACTTCTCCATTGGCCTTCAGTGGCGTAACTATCGGGGTTTCCCATGGACTATTGTCCACGGGTTCAAGAACACCCTGCTGAAGCAGCTTGTCCAGCTCTGCATTAATCTTATTCTTCAACGCGAAGGGCACCCGACGGGGCTTAATCCTAATGGGGGCAACAGATGGGTCTAAACGTAAAGCAATGGGAGGCCCCTTGTACGAGCCAAGCTCTGGACTGAACACATCAGCAAACTCCTTGCAAACTCCTGCAAGACCTGTCATTTGCAAACTGTGTAGTCCAGTCACTTGAATCCCAAGGGCCTCGAACCAATCGAATCCAATAAAACTCGTGCGGTCACCCCCAACCACAACCACATCTAACAACCCTTCAAAATTCCTATGCTGCACCTTGAGCATGGCCTCCCCCTTCACGCTGACTCGGGAATTCTGGAAATTGGAAAGGATTAAATTCGACAGCCTGACTTTAATTCGTAGGCTGCTTCTACAACAAATCTTCTTGAAAGTATCCTGATCGATAGAGCGGACCCTGTGTCCAACTCCATCGAAAGGGGAACCCCTTGCAATGACGTCAATGTGAAGCTTCTTCCTTAGCGGCCTATGGACCCATTTTAAAAATGCTTCTATGTTCTGGCTGGGGACCCTGGTACCTTTCTGAAGCAATTCTTCCGAAGGCCGGTCTTTCTGGCGACCCAAACAGACGGCAGCAATGTGGCCTTGTCTGCCACATGCCCGGCAAACAGCAGAACGGAAACGACAATCGGAGCGCTTGTGGCGTCCTCCACATCCGAAACATCGAGAGAATGTAGTTGTCTTGTCTTTGCGCTCTTGAGGCCTTCTCTCTGCTGGCGGCTGCAATCAGTCAACTTCCATCTCAGGATCCTGTTTGGATACTTCTCGAGCGATCTCTTGATGGACGGAGATCGGAGTTGGAGGGTTCTTGGCGAGCCGCAAAGCCTTCACAGCTCTGCCCGCAGCTTCTTCGGCTGAAATTTCTCTCAACGTGTCTTGGAACAAGACATTTTCTTTTGCGAAGATCTTCTGCTGCAACCCACGACTTCTCAGTCCACAAACTAAACAATCCCGGAGTCTCTTTTCCAGGTCCTTGAATTCGCATGGCCTAGCTGCTTGTCGTAACACAGCAATAAAGTCCACAGCAGACTCACCAGGCCTCTGGTCCCTCTGCTCGAATGCGTGTCGCCATGCAATCACTGAAAGCTTTGGTTCAAAGTGTTCTTGCAACATCCTCTTCAGCTCAGCATAAGCAATGGATTCAAGTGGTGCTGGGGCGACCAGATTCTCTGCAATATCGAAGGTCCCTTACCCACAGATACACAGTAGCGTAGCAGCTTTAAGACCGTCCTCCTGAACTTGGTTTACCCGAAGGTAGTTCTCTACCCGGGCCACGTAAGAACTCCAACATTCCGGATGAGCTCTGTCGAATTCTGACAGACGGCCTAGCTTGGACATCATTACTTCCCGGCGGCCTTGTCAACACCTCGTGCTGCAAGACTTGAGAAGGGGTCCCTTTTGCCGAGCTCTCCTCCAGCGTTCTCGTACTGGCAGGCAGAGTCGCACTCTCCGGACGCCAAACTTCCCAGCGCTTCAGGCCTTCCATTGTGAGTCAGCCTATATTCTTTTCGTTGTTTCCCTTGCAGCACACCCCACCTTCGTCGCCAATGTTCTGTTTCCAATGTAAAGGCATTGAGACGAGGCAGGAGTAACAACAGTCTTCTCTTTATTCAGATCACAACAGAACCAAAATGGCGCAGATTCCTTTTATACCCCTTCGCAGGGACAGTGTCAACCAATCAATGCAATGGATTCTCTGCCTTGCGCATGCGCAATAGGCCACAGACAGCCTGTCTGGTCCTGGGCATCCACGTGATTTGCCTGGGCTTCTCTGCAGCTTCCTGCGCCTGTTGAGTCACTCAGCTGACCCAGGACATAACACATTATATTTGGCTTTAATTTCATACACACTATATTCTGAATTCCCCAAACTGCTCACCAGTCCAACATAAATTTTATATAGCTATCATTTCATATTTATTTAGAAAAAGAAAGGGAGGAAAGGAGGGAGGGAGAGAGGGCCATATCGACCAATACAAAGGAGTAAGTAAAATAACTATTCAGGGCTATTGCTATTTTGACCAATCTGCTCTATCAATGTCATCATTAGAGGATCGCAGCCTAATTGTCTGTTTACAAATACTTTTACCCATTTATAATGCCAGCCATTTTTATTTTCATTTTTCTCAGCATAAAAAAATGAGAAAGAACAGATAGGATAGGATAGGATAGGATAGGATAGGATAGGATAGGATAGGATAGGATAGGATAGGATAGCTGAAAGGCACTTTGGAGGTCTTCTTAAAAATTTCCAGTGTTGGAGCATTCACAACTTCTGGAGGCAAGTTGTTCCACAGATTAATTATTCTAACTGTCAGAAAATTTCTTTTTAGTTCTAGACTGCTTCTCTCCTTGATTAGTTTCCATCCATTGCTTCTTGTCCTGCCTTAAGATGCTTTGCGGAACAGCTTGGCTCCCTCTTCTTTCTGGCAACCCCTGAGATATTGGAACATGCTATCATGTCACCCCTAATCCTTTTCTTCATTAAACTAGACATACCCAATTCCAGCAACCATTCTTTATATGTCTGGCCTCCAGGCCCGATCATCTTTGTTGCTCTTCTCTGCACTCTTTCTAGAGTCTCCACAATTTTTTTACATCATGGTGATCAAAACTGGATGCAGAATTCCAAGTGTGGCCTTACCAAGGCATTATAAAGTATTAACAGTTTATGTGATCTTGAGTCTATCCCTCTGTTAATGCAGCCTGGGGCTGTGTTGGCTTTTTTGGCAGCTGCAGCACACTGCTGGTTCATATTTAAGTGATTGTCCACTAAGACTCCAAGATCCCTCTCACAGTTACCACTATTGAGTGAGGTACCACCTATACTATACCTGTACATTTGGTTTTTCTTGCCTAAATGTAGAACCTTACTTTTTTCACTATTGAATTTCATTTTGTTAGATAGCACCCAATGTTCAAGTCTGTCAAATCCTTCTGTATCTTAAACCTATCTTCTGGAGTGTTGGCTATTTTTGTCAGCTTGGTGTTGTCTGCAAATTTTATGAGTTCCCCATCTATCCCCTCATCCAAATAATTGATGTTGTTGAAGAGTACTGGACCTAAAACAGAACCTTGGGGTACCCCACTTCATTCTTCCCTCCGGGTAGATAAAGCTGCCTTCCCCAAAATTGCACCATTATCATAAATTCCTCTGTTTTTTAAGCCCATATTGAATTTTTTTACTGTTTGTTTTAAATTTGAATTCTGAGAGGCAGTCTATTATTGGCCAGATGTTTGAAAATGTTCCACCTGATGGACAAATCACAAGTATTTTCTATGAGTTTACCTACCTGAAGCCATTGGCATGGTTGTCCCTTCACATGTAAAGCACTATGACTTTGATTTCAACATCTAATACAAGACAACTGAGAAATGTTTTGCATAAAAACATAAAGTCTCATTGTATAAAGAAAATTGGTATGAAGGAAAGAAGTCTGAACTTTTTCTTGACAATTCAATTTAAAGTAAAGTTTCATGTTTCAGTCCAGTCTAGAAAAAGGCTTGAACTATTTTGCAGAACCAAAAACAATCTAGCAAATCACATGCAAACATTCCTGGGGGTATTTGCAGTCATAACATAGAATCATTAGACTACAATTCTCTGTGATCACAAATTATGTTATGCCAAATATAGTTATTTTCTTTTAGCATGAGATATGTTCTTGTCTGCTGTAGTTAGCATTATGTTCAATTAAACCATTGTGTGCTGATTCCAAGAACTATGGCAAAAATCCTTTTACTTGACATTACATCCAAATGCAGCCTTGACAGACCAATACTATGTATGTTTATGCAGAAAATAACATCCACTGAATTCAACAGATTATCTCCAAGTACTGTATGTGAATATAGAACTAGAATCCTATTATAGAATAAGTTTCACTATATTCATCAAGGCTTATTTCTGAAGTGTATATGGTTGGTTAGCTTATACTGTCAGACTCAGAAAAACCCCACAGCTATTTATCAAGCCAATTGTGCTTTCCCATGATGCTTTTAAAGATAATCTATAGAAATGGGTATCTTTTAAAACAGACAGGGTGACTTTGAAATAAAAAGCAATTCTTTCAGTTAGATTACCTTAAAACATTCAAATGCATTTTATTGCATGACTAAGTGTCAGCCCAATAATAATAGAAAAATACATCACAAATTCATAAACATTTATTTTCTTCTTCTTCTCTCTCTCCCTCTCTCTCACAGAGAGAAAAACATGTTTGCTTTTGTTTTTAATACTCATGGGTGACTGCAACACAGATTGATAGCTAACCTTCAGGCTAATTTCTTCTGAAATTACTGTTTAGCTAATAAGAGACTGATCCAAAATAACTGCTGATAAAATATTGTGTGTGTAACTTGGTCATGTAGTTAGGAGTGTTAATATCAATTAATTCTACTCACACTTGTTTTAAAACAACTTCATTTTCCCCTTACCATATATGTAATTACACAGCTGTAACTAATAGCCATGGAGAAGCAATCTACCATCTAAACATATGGCATTAGTGTTCAAAGTACTACTTGCGCTTTGGTTCTTTTATTTTCACACAGTGAGTGAGGGATTATTAGAGATGATTAAATGTACATATAATGCTTTTTAGTAAAAAAGCTCAACATACTCTGTGAATTTGGCTTTTTAGGCTTTTTTTCTTCAGTTTTATTGTTTCATTGTTCAAGATACTTAACATTAATTTCCCTCATTTTTTTGTATTTTTAATATATATATATTACTATTAGAGCTAATATTTATTTTAATATAAAGTATTATGTATTTCATTTACTATGTAGTACTATTAACTAAGTAATTTATCCCTTATTCAGAACATTTCTGAACATTTTCTACCAACATTTTCATCATCTTGGTCTCATGTTAGTTGCAAACTTCAATATTTTTAATTTGAGTCTTTATAAAATTAGGTAATAAGAATATTTTTTAAAAAGAAATGGGGGGACCTATTTTATAGCTGTTCATTATAATGTAAAAAGCAGTGACATTTTGCTTCAGTAAACAAACACACAAAATAAATTATAATGGTAAGAGTAAATACCAGGAAATATAGTACATTTTACAAAGTGTATGTAGTTTTGAGAAGAGGACTTCCTGCTTCATTGCCTCTGTAATACACAGCCCCCCTTCCTTTTTCCTCCTTTTTTTGAGCCTAATGAAATATTTTATTTATAACAATTTTAAATATGAATGCTATCATATTTCACTTGTTAAAAAGGGTAGAAGATCAAGATTTAACTAAAGTTCAAAGTCACCTTCACCATTATTAACTGTTTTGGCTTGTGTAAAAATGGACATCACTTAATTGTTAGGTGGCTTATATAAATCTTGTTTCATCCAGCCACAGAGAATAGTTATAGAGAATAAATTGGGGGATGTTTGGGCCGTGATGCATAAAAACAGTATATCTATTGCTCTACATCACAGGTGTCAAACTCACCATGTCACATGACGTGTTGCGACATATCATGACTCTTTTTGCATTGCCGGCAATGGGGTGGGCGCGGCTTCAGTATGATGAAACCGGCCTGCAGGCCAGCAGTTTGATACCCTTGCTCTACATCAAGGCAGCTATCAGAATGGTATTTAGTCTCTGCTTTTGAGAACTCAAGTCAGGTGGAATACATATACAATTCTGAGAGCTTCTAGAAACTCCTTCCTCATTCCTACTGAATGCCAGAATATGAATAGCTCCTACAGCTAATGCATTGTATACACTCATTTAAAGTGTATAGGCTCATAAGTACAATTACCTTTAGAGCTTTCCAAACCCATAGAATAGCATATGCATGTGAGGAATTTGGTAAGGATGAAACCAGTCACATGTGGTGACTCCTGGTGGTCAATGTAACTGAAATGGCACATAGGATGTGCACTGTGTAAAAATGTAAAGAGGGGGGCAAGAGAATGGAATTATTTTAAATGTTTGTCACTGATGTGAAAGCTATTCCATGCCAACAAAGATAAGAGAATAAAGATAAGTAGTGCAATAGAAGGCATCATATTGTCAATATTAGGGCAATATCGTATGTGCAACAGGCTAATTATCTTAAAATTGGAGCATACCTATGTATACACTACTGTGAGAAATTCTCCATACTTTCATTAATCAGGTTAACACGTATTTGGATGTAGTTTTATTATTTCAATTTTATGGTTGCTTTGCACACATCCCTTTCTGTAAAGATCTATAATTTTAAATATAATGGCTATGAATCCTCTAATCCTTAAGAAGAATAAAGGACATATTTTCTGCTTGTTCTTGGCATCAAGAAGTATCCTGGTTGGTACAGGATTTGCTGTTATTATAAACATAGATTGGGTTCATCAGTCTTGAATTCCTCTTTCAACTATTTATATTACATTTTGGTCTTTCCCTGCTTACTGAGTTAGAGTCATCTGAAAGTTGTTAAATTCATCTGCTCCTACTGGCCTAAGCCTTCTTGCAAATATTGCAAAAGATAATAGGAAGCTGTCACATAGCTGAAACCACTTACACTTGGGAGTCTTGCTTTTAAGGATCCCTTAACTTATCTAATATTGCAGGGTCTGTGGTGGTCTCTGATCTTGGTTGTTTTCTTCAGACATTTTATTACCAACTAGATAACATCATCAGTGCTAGTAGGGAGTGGAGTTTACTGTAATTTTATATGCTATTGATTTGCCCTCTCAGTATTGGTGGAGTGATCTTGGTAGTTCCTTGATTGGGATGTTGTTTACTGTTAGCTGGTTTGTCTGGTTGGTAGTTCATCGATTGGGGTATTGTTTGCTTCTTGATTGTTGATCTAATGTTAATCTTGGTATTAATATCTGTTCATCTGGATATTTACTGGTGGTGAGGAGGTATTGTGGTCTTTTTGTTTGAAACCCCACTTCCTACTAGCACTGACAATGTTGCCTAGTTTGGTAATGAAACATTTGCAAAAAAGCAACTGATATTGTTTTATCTTTTCCTATCACATCCCTTCTTTGAGCCTTAGATTAACACTGAATCCTGTCCATATACGGCATTTCATTTATTTATTGTAAAAACCTTTAGTTCACTACACTCGTACAATGTTCAGCAACCTATGTAGTATATATAAAATAAGAATTAAGATATTAGGTTAAAAATAAGAAAAAAACACTAAAAAACAAATATTACAGGAATAAAGAGAAAAAACCATCAAAAACAAGGTAAAATTAAATATAAATGTAAGAAATAATTGAACGTTAATATTTGCCAAAAAAAAAAGCTAACAAGGGGAAAGTGGTCTTATTTTGTGTCTGAAAGCTGTCCCAAAGCAATAGTGCTGCCAGAGGAAAAAATGACCTTCTAGCTTTAGCCTCCTGAGCTACTTAAAAATGTGGTATTATAACTGCTTTTTTTTTTGGGGGGGGGGTTGATCTAATAGTTTGATGCTGGTTGGAATTGGCAGTCCATTCTGGCCCAGCTTTTACTTGCTGTTTCAGAAAAAGCATGAATTCAAATCATAGAGCCAATCGTTACAGGTAGTGTTTGCCTGTTGAAAAGTTACTTGTGGCAACAGGAAGTCAAGAAATTTTGTCTTACTTGGGTTCAGCTTCCATCTAGTTCTGCCATCCATACCATCAAAAAAAGTCAAGAAAATTCTTTTATTATTATGCCTGTGTTTGCTAGCAGATATATTTCCACAGACTATCAGAATAAGCAAATATGATCTTCATTTTTTTAATATTCATACTTACACATGTAGTGGAGGAATGGGAGATGGATCATAATGATAACGTCCCTCATGATGTCTTGTCTCAATTGGTACTGGAGGGTGAAAAGTTGGGAAAAGATGAGGTGGATCTGAAAAAAAGAATGTACAGATCTCATTATTAGATTAGATTAGATTAGATTAGATTAGATTAGATTAGATTAGATTAGATTAGATTAGATTAGATTAGATAACCTTTATTGTTATTTTTTACTGTGGGCACAACGGCACACATTAAAAATGAAATTTAGTTGCTTGTTCTCAAAGTGTACACATACATAACACACACTTAAACATACTATATACAACATATGTCTAGACCTACACCCTTACATATAAGTAACATATAAATATGAATCACTGTCCATCTTGAATACATAATGGAAAGAGGAAGCTTTAGAGTTCACAAGGTTAATACTGTATGGCACAAAACTGTGACTGAATTTGGATGTTCTGCTTCGGATACCAGGGAGTCTCCTCCCAGAAGGTAACAAGGAAAACAGGTCATGAAGAGGATGTGTAGTGTCCCAGACAATCTTATGGACCCTGCTCAAGCAACACTTATGTGCTATGTCCTGGATGGAAAGGAGGAAACTGCCAATCATCTTTTCAGCCATCCATACAACTCTCTGCACTGCCTTCCTGTCTCAAGCAGTGATGCTTCTAAACCAGACTGTGGTGCTGTATGACAGGATGCTCTCGATCGTCCCTCTGTAGAAAGTGGTAAGGACAGGGGAAGGAAGATGAGCTTTTCTCATGTGATGCAGAAAATGCAGGTGCTGCTGTGCCCACTTCACCAGTGTCTCGCTGTTGAGCGACCAAGCCAGCCTACTTGTTAACTGCACACCCAGGAATTTGATGCTGGTAACCATCTCTAAACTTTAATAGGATATTAAAAAATGAGCAATCATTTATTAAATATTGCATTCTTTTAATGCAGCATGTATTTAATGCAATATACGTTGCATTAAAAAGCAAGCTTTTCAAATACTGAATTTTGTATTTACAAGTGTCCTTGGTTAGTAAACATTTGTTCAGCAAACATTATGACTTTGTTAAAAGAAGAGACATGACTGATACTCCAAGTTGCATCTGTAACAGCATCCTCACAATCACAAATCAAGAATTTGCCAACCAGTTTACAGACCTAGATTGTTGGGGGCAATATGTTGACTCTGTAAATCACTTAGAGAGGGCTGTAAAGCACTGTGAACTGGTATATAGGTCTAAGTGCTATTGCTATTAAGAGTCACAATATTATGTGATCACATGATCACCATTCATAAACTTCACTGGCAGAAGATCATAAATGATGATCACATAACCATGGACTTATGCATTGTACAGAATATGTTTAATGACTGCAACTGAAACTGCTGCAAGTGCCACTGTAAATTGGCAGTTATGTGACATCACACTTTATGGCCTTATGATACTTAGTGATAGAGTTGCCAGTCACAATTACTGTCATTAAGCAAGAATTATAATACTAATGCCATTGAACTTATTTGTGTATTTCTTTACTTTTTATCATTTTGTATCACTCCAATTTTGATAATTGTAGAGGGAGAGAGTTACTATTCAGGGACATAAATTCTATCCCAGAACACTGGAGATCACATTCAGTAATCATAATTATTTTTGAGATTTCAACATTATTGCTTGGGTTCTGACAAGCTTAATTTAGGATGTTCAGAAAAGACTATTTTTTCATGCAACTCAGTCATGTTTACTTTGATTTATTAGCTTCCTGTGATCATAGTAAAATAGGTATCATATAGTATCTAATTTTTGTTTGGCCAAGAGGCCAGAGACTGAACCTAGCATCTTTACAAAGAATATTCTTTACTACTGAATACTAACTCCCCACATCTCATTTCATATACTTTTTACAGTACAAATTTCATTTATATGAGCCCAAGCCAAATGCTTAAGAAACACATTATGACTCTTTCATTTTGCCATGGCAAATGTGAACATTCTTATCTAATGTTCTCTTTGTGCTACTTTAAATGGATGTTAAAGAAAAAGCTATTTAATTGTCATAGACATGTGTAGTGTCACATCATATGGATCAACTAGTATTTTATAAGCACATCTTAAGAAATTAAAATTAGATTTCAAAGAGTTAGGAAAAAGCAATGAAATATTAGTAAAATATAATATTGTAATGTAGAGTAAGAAAAGCAAAATTAAAGAGTAACACTGAAGAAAAGAATATAAATTTGGCAATTAAGGAATTATACAAGAATATGTTTATACTTGCTGCTTAAAAATTGAAACCATGTACCATGAAAAATAAAATATATATTATGTGCAGGATAAAAATCAGACATGTATGAAAAAAGTCAGGAAACTTTTAAAGCATAAACGGTGATAAAGTAAATTATGACTGGTACAGTGGCCTAGTGGCCTCACCTCCCACCCGGTTGAGAGTTTAATCCTAGGCAGCAGCTTGGTAACTCTTTTACTTACAAACTTGTTTGTATTAAACAGGTTTGTTTTATTTTTATCCTGGTGTTCGTTTTTTCTATATTTTATTGATGTATGTATGTATGTATGTATGTATGTATGTATGTCATGGTTCCGACTAATGAAACACTTCAAAGAACTTCCAGGCATTGTTTATCCTAAAAAGTCTTTAATCGTGAAACAAAGTGTCAGCACAGCATGGTGGATGCCAAGATCTGAATTCCCCTCTCCTGAGCACATAATATTCCAGCATAATTCCCTCCTCCCATTTGCAGTCATAAATCACGTTCTCCAATTAGTTTGAAGGCCAAAGTTTCCCTTCAGTTCTGTAGCCTGGTTTCTTATCTTAACTAATCCCCAGACACATTCTTTCTCCCCCCCTCCCAACATCATCTAATTTAACTCTAAAAATATCACACAGCTTATAGAGAGAGTGGCTGCCTCTTTATACATTGGCAAAGCAAGAACATCCTGGGACCGGTGACGAGGTCCAGGAGCCGGGCGCAGATGATGGATGGCTTATAAAAGAGACCCTCTCATGGACTGGCACATAACCCTGACGATGTCGGAAGGAGTCCGATGAAAGCTTGGTGTAGTTTTGTTTTATGTTTTGTGTTATTAAACTTTTTGATAGTTTGATATACTCCTGGTGTTCACGGTTTGTTTTTGGGAATATATACATATATATATATATATATATATATATATTACACTGAGAAGCACAAAGCTAAAAGCACAAGCCTGATGATGATGAATGTGATTTCATCGAAACGTCGCTATGATACTTCTAATCTTACACGGGAGAAAACCCGAATGACCAAAGACTCACATATATATATATATATATATATATATATATATATATATATATATATATATATATATATATATATATATATATATATATATATATACATACATACATACATACATACATACATACATACATATATATATATATATATATGATTAAGAAAAACAGTGCCTAGAAATCATAATAAAAAAGTATTGAGTTTGCCTAAATTTAGATAATGAGAGAGCTTAACATTCAACTTCTGTTCCAGCTTCTTCTTTTCATACAGCAGATAAACTCTGACCATTCCTTGGGAAACCTCTTAGATCAGGAGTATCAAACTACCTGCCCATGGGCCGGTTGCATCATATGGAGGCCATACCACCCCAGCTCCAGCAATGCAAAAAAAGTCACGATGTGGCGTGTTTGACATCCTTGTCTTAGATGTGTCACCGAACTGCTCAAATAATTGAATGAGAAAATTAAAATGTCTCATGTTTTTCTCAGAAAGTCCAACAACATAAAAAGGTCCTCAACATAGCAAAATATATTGCTTAGGACAACAAACAAACACTTTCAATGTGTTTCCCAATTTCTTTACTTTGAAATAATCAAATGGCACTTAGAAATATTTTTAATAGTATGCACACTGAAAAATGTTTTACCGTTTCAAATTTCTGCTGAAGGATGCGGATTAATTACTTTTCCTCATATTTATTATTGTATCTGCTTGGATAAAGGCTGTTCAATTTCATTATGTTTGGGTTTTTAATTACCTGTTTCCTTATAACTTTGGAAAGAGTGGAAAGATTAGTAATTATAGATTTTTAAACATCTATGCTCTCTTCTTTTTTCCTATCTTCTCTTTCCCTCTTTCTTCCCTTTTCGCTTGCTTTTTCTTTTTCACCCTTAAATCTGCCTTCATTTAAGATTAATGTATCTTAATAGAGATCAGAGTTTATTTCCTTTTTACTTTCCCATTTCATTGCAACATAGGTGATGAAATTCCTGGATCCTGTAAGATCCTTTGCTTAATTGATCAAGAGTACCTATCTTACTAACCTTACTGGATTTAGCAAATTTCATACTTTCAGAATAGAATTTGTATTATACTACAGCAGTCAAAGGTAATGGGAAGAGAAAGTGAAATGTAGACAAGTATATGCTTTTAGATTCAGATAAATCAGTAATATAATATGCATTATCTATTAAGGACATAAAGGGATAAATTTATACAGATTCCAGATCTATTAACCACCTCTTAAAAGTTACTCTAACATACTATACTTAAATTCTACAGTAATTCTTCAGCAATAGAATTAGATTCTGGTTTTAAAAATATGTTAAAAACCTTTCTCCACGGAACCGGTCCCTGGTGCCCAAAAGGTTCGGGGCCTCTGTTCTATTATATGTAAATGATACTTATACTTTACAGCTCACACATTCTTTTCCTGTTGTAATCCATTTATGAATCCGGTACATGATAAATGAAGTAAATGGGACCTGATGGCACTAGGTTGTAAAAATTATTCTAATAACCATACAAATTGATTTTAAATTCTGTCCTGATTCTATATTTTTTCTGAATGAAAACCAACAATAAACTAATATTGTAAGACATGATTTTCTAATTCCAAAAGTGTACGGGGCCCCTGGTATATAAAATGCAAGTCAATAGGAACATGCTGTATTTCTTTCACATATTATCAAGGTTCTCAGTTTTTAAGTATAAAATGGGTTAATAATGGCATTTGTTTCCTAGAATTATATGAGAAATAAGTATTTTACATTTCCATTCTCACCCTACATAGTTCAAAGTGCCATTGG